TCAGCAGGATTGAGAAATTTAATAATAGTATTAAATAAAATTTAAAATATTTCAGTACTCGAGGCACAAGTTGATTTGGCTCTGCCCTCATCCACTTTCAAACAATGCTTTACCCTTCAAATGTCCAGTCAACATTAGCGCCTCCAATAAATTCTCAAAACCCACCTATTTCCTTCAGGTGGTTGCAATTCCTTGTGTTTGGGCTCGCGCATGCGATTGTTTGTTTGTTTGTTTGTTTGTTTTTTTTTTTTTTTTGGCATAAGATGGGTGCAATGTGCCCATGCTTGGCCTAAATCAACTTGCTTAATCAAAGGAAAATGCATGATTAAACAGTTTTACCTTAATAAGTATTAACTTCTTCAATGGAAAGGAATGCGATCCACATATCAATGATGTTTGCAAGAGCTGGGGGAGTCAATTGAAAATAATTAATAAAATGAAAGGTGACTTCATCTACAGCTACTAGCTACTGCACTTTGAAGATATTGATAGGAGAATGAAAATTGTTTGCCAAAAGCTCAGCATTCAAGATGGTTTGTTTTTTATATGTGGACTTGGACAAAATTTATCGCTAAAATAGTGTATCATTATATGTCGATAAGAAGCTGAATCATGGGTTAGTTAACACCCACACATTCTAAGAAATTAAAAACAATTATCTCCAGAATTGTATAATCATCGTGGACTGAATAATTAGATCGCTTAGTTGAATTCTATTTAGGAAGTGACCTGAAAATCTGTTATACGCTGTTTAAGCCACCCCTTCAGACTTGTCAGTTTGTCCATGTTTTTGTAGACTCTTATCATATATGAATATTAGGTTCATCGTTATGTAAACTTTTGTTAGTTTTGCTTTTAGTTTAAGCAAATGACATCGCCCTTAAACAGTTGTACTTGTTCTGCCTTTCTTCCCGCGCTATCGGTTTTAATTGTTTTTTTCTTTATTTCCATCTAATAAAAGATATTTCATTACAATTGCAAAACTGTTTGTAGATATTGGAGGGACTTCTCAAATTGCCAGAGAACAGAGAATGTGCCGACTGTAAGGCCAAGTAAGGATGATGTATGATGTATCATTTTTGCAGCTGGAAATTTTAATTTTGGTCTTTATGCATCTAACGTCTGCTTTTGTTAAGACTATGTTTACTTAACTCACTGATGTAACAAAGTATCTAGTATCTATCAAAACTAGCATATGTATGGCTTTTTAAATGAAGTTGCCTGCTATTCTTAAAAGGAAGATGTTGCTATTAAATGGGCAGATTTTTCAAGAGTTGTGACGCTAAGTTGCTAAACGCATTAGATGACAATAGCAAGGAGATTTGGTAGTTGTGAGAGAGATTTGATTTTGACAGGGATTATTTTTATAATAATAATAATAATAATAATAATTATTATTATTATTATTATTATTATAAAAATAATTTGAAATGAGTTATTTGTGTACATTGATCCCTTCTTGCAAATCCATTACTCGCTCAAATAGGTTCTGTGTTGTTGCCTCATGCGCGAGCAAATTTTTGAATGTTTCTTGTGCGATGATTGCTGTTGATACTAAGTTTTTTAATGTTATAGGTGCTTATGCTCCTCAAATTAGTTTAGATATAGGTTCAAAAGAAAATTCCTTGAATGACCTAAAAGAATTAGTACATATGATATCTCTTGAAGAAAAAATTTTATTGGAGGAGATTTAAATGACCATGTTATTAGAGTGGTAGAATATTTAAGAAATGTTCATGATGGTCACGGTTTTGGAGTGATTAATGAAGAAGATATAATCATTTTAAACTTTGCTTTAATGTATGATTTTATTATTGCTAATACTTTATTTAAGAAAAGAGATAAACGTATTATTACTTATAATAATGAATCTAATAAAACACAAATTGATTATTTTCTTATGAGAAAAAAAATCGTCGAAAATGTAAAGATTGTAAGGTCATTCTAAGTGAAAGTTTAAATACTCAATTTCGATTTTTAGTTCAAAATTTTAAGATGAAGAGTTGTAAGATAAAAAATACGATGAATTATTGTCAAAGAATTAGATGGGGACTCCTAAAAGACAAATAAAACTATTTTTATGAGAAACTTCAAGATTTCATAATTTAGGATGTTCATGAAGAAGCGACTTCTATGTGTAATAAAATAATAAACAATATTATACAAGTGACAAAAGATGTACTTGAGGAATCAAAAGAAAAAGTTTTTATAAATAAAAATAGTTGGTGGTGAAATAATAATGTGCAATAAAAGATAAAATACAAGATCTTGCGTTATAAAAAGTGGTTTAAATGCAAAAGCTTAGAGAATTGAAAAAAGTATAAGGCAGTCCGTAGGGAGTTTAAGAGAACAATTTGCGTCGCTAAAAATTTTTTTTCGGGATTTTTATAATAGATTAGATACTAAAGTGAATGAAAAATATATTTATAAACTAGCCAATCAAAGAGAAAAGAAAAGTAAAGATTTAATTCAAGTAAAGTGTATTAAAATACTTCTTTTAGATAACGATGTTCAACATAGGTAGATAAACTATTTTGATAAACTTTTCAATGAAGTTCTTAAAATACGATTGACTTTAGTGATTTTAATTTTATTACTAATAATAAAATACTTTATTTTTACCGTCACATTAGTAAAAAAAAAAGTTAAGGAGACTTTAAAGAAAAATCAAAGGTGAAAAATCAGTAGGACTTGATGATAACTTAATTGAAGTCTGGAGATATGCAGGAGATTTGAGAGTTTCTTGGCTTACTAAACTCTTTAATATTATTTTAAGAACTAAAAAGATGCCTGAGGAGTGGAGGAAGAGTATTTTGGTCCCCATTTTAAGAATAAAGGGATTGCACAACAATGCAAATTATAGAGGAATTCAATTGACGTGTCAAAATTTAAAATTATGGGGATGGTATTTGAAGATTGGTTAATATGTGATCCAAAATTTCTCATGATCAATTTGGATTTATGTCGGGCAGGTCTACTATTGAAGCTATGCATTTATTGAGAGTTTGATGGAGAAGTACAAAGAGAATAATGAGGTTCTACATGTGATTTTTATTAATTCAGACAAAGCTTACAATGAGGTTCTACACGTGATTTTTAATGATTTAGAAAAGCTTACGATGAGTTTCGGAAGTCCTTTGGAGAGTTCTAGAGAAGAAATGAGTTGATACAATTTATATTAAAGTCATTAAAGATATGTATACGAGAGCCATTATTTGCGTTTGAATAGGAAGATTAACTAAGTATTTTCTTATTTCAGTTGGATTACATAAGGGATCGACTTTAAGCCCATATCTTTCTCTTATTGGACATTTATAGGAGAATGTACTTTGGTATATGTTTTTGGTCGATGATATTCTTGTGGATAAGACTAAAGAAAGAGTTCAGAAAACTTGAATTATTGAGGTCTACATGGGAGTCTAAAAACCTTCGTTTGAGTATATCTAAAATTGAACAAATGGAATGTGATTTTAGTAGTAGTAGCTCTAGTGACAGAGTTGTAACTATGAGTGATTAAATTATTACAAGTTGCGAATGTTTTAGATTTTCTGGGCCTACTGTTCAAAGTGATGTTGATATAGATTGGGATGTTATTAGTAGAATTGAAGTTGGTTGGTTGGAGTGGAGGAATGCATTAGGCATATTGTAAGATAGAAAAAGTACCACTTAGACTAAAAGAAAAAAAATTATAGGATGGTGGTGCAACTCGCTGCTCTATGACGTAGAATGTTGGCCTTTAAAAGAGAAGCACAAAACAAAGTTAAGTTTTGATGAGAATGCTTAGGTGGATGAGTGGCTTGACACTTAGAGACAAAATACGAAATGAATATATCCGTGACGGGGTTAGTGTAACCCGAGTGGTGGACAAGATTAGAGAGAGTCGTCTTTGATGGTTTTGTCACATTAAACGTCGACCATTTGATGATCCGATTAGGAGAGTAGATGTTTTAAATTCGACTTATGTTAAGAAAGACAGAGATAGACCTATAGACCTAGAAAGACAGAGATAGACCTAGAACGACTCAAGCATATTGTATAAAAAATGATCTTAATCAATTAGATTTAAATGAAAATATGACACTCAATAGGATGCAATGGAGAAAAATGATTTATGTAGCCGACCCCACTTAGTGGGATAAAAGGCTTGTTGTTGTTGTTGTTGATGATGATGATTTGGGCGATATTGCTATAATTTTAAAGTAATTTTTTCCATTTGGATGCATCAACATAGTTCATTTAATAAAACGAGTGATGTTTGAAACTAAGCTTGTGATTTTGTTGCTATTACGATGTCTAGAACGAAACTTGTGCAAAACTATGTCCAGCTATGGAAGTTATCAGGAAATATTTTGATAACCTCAAATTAGCAGGAAAGTGGAAAGTGGGGCTCATGGATGAGAGACATGTTTTGATTCAGTTAACCGTGCTTGAAGACTACACTCGTATTTTCTCCAAAAAATATCTTAACATTGCTGGTAACCAATGAAGCTACTTAAGTGGTCTCTTGATTTTGACTCCAATCATGAACTTTCTACTGTACCGGTATAGTTTAGTCTACCTGGTCTCAAGCTGTATTTTTTTCATGATCAGGTTCTCTATTTTGTTGGTGTCATACTTGGGGACCATATGAAGCTAGATCTACCCACTTTCAACCTTACCAAACTTTCTATGGCCAGAATACTTGTGAAAATAGATATTACTTTGTTCGATGTTACTGAAGTCTGGTTGGACACAATGCATAATGAATATTGACAACAAATCGTCATGGAGCATAGACCTTCTTATTTTTCTCATTGTAAGATGTTTAGGCATACTCTTTATAAATGTCATAAACTTCACCCTAATTTGAAATCTAAAGATCAAGTGAATAAGGATGGTTCTAAGGATATATCTATACCATATGGAGAAAAAACTACCACAGGACATATTTTGGTGTCTGATTCTATTGTCACTGCTGTTACTGCTACTGCGAGTGATGTGATGCTGACATCTTCAAACCCCATAGAAAACAATACTGATGAATTATTATCTACAAATGATAGTGTTTAGACTGATAATCATGAGAGCCTCGTAGCTCCACTTCTTCAGGAAGTATTCGGTGTAGAGACAACTCATACTTCACATATACTAGAATATATTGTGGTTACTACGGTTGGTATTCCTTCTGCTTCAGCTCTATCACCCCATCAGACTGATTCTTCGAATGAGGAATGACAAGTCTATTCCAGGAGGAAGAAGAAGAATGAAGACCGACTCCAACTCGAGAACATATTGGATGATACATTGGTTACTACTGGCAATGACGATCATCTTACCAGCTTATTAGCTTGCTCATTCCCTAGAAATAGAGGCAAAGGTAAGACCAAATTAAGTCTCTCTCTAGCCACCTGATTCTATGTATTTCGGCACTGTTAGGCTTTTTATTTAAGATCTAATATATTTTTCTGCTTTTTCTAGTTTTGGAACCATTTGCGGTTTTTGTGTGTACAGGGTGTCATGCTTGGACCCTCCCACACATTGTATCTGTACCTTTTTTTCTATTTAATATATTAGTCTTTTTTTGGGCTTTCAAAAAAAAAATAAAATTATACATATATATATATATATATATATATGGTGATGCTGTTGGGTGGGTGTTGAAGGGATGAGAGGGGCAAGAAAGAGATGAAGTGAAAGAAGGGATACTTATCAGGTTTTGACTTATGCATTGAGAGAGAAATGTATTTCTGTACCTATTTATGAAGGCACATGGTTCTGTTTCTGAACATAAGCTTATTATTCCCTGAGATGATTTTGTGTTCACTTTTATTTGTTTTATTGAAATGTAAAATTTGATTTCGTCGTTGGTACAAATTATTGCAGGGGTCCACGATGGGCAAGTGTAAACTTGGGCATCTTTATTTGCATGCAATGCTCTGGAGTACATAGAAGCTTGGGAGTTCACATCTCAAAGGTCAAATGTCATACCTAATTCAGTTAACCATGGTTGATTATTTACATTAAGCACTTTGCTAAAGGATCCAGACTTGGCAAATGTTCTTGTTCAGTTTTCCACTCCTCCTAAGTTTGTTCTTGGTCATTGTAGGTGAGGTCTGCTACACTAGATACGTGGCTTCCAGAACAGGTTGCCTTTATCCAATGTAAATGATTTGCTGCCTTAGCTCTTAAACAAGCGCTTTATTAGGTTTGCTTTAACCTCAGTCATCTTCGTCATTTTTAACAGCCATGGGAAATGAGAAGTCAAATAGTTATTGGGAAGCAGAACTTCCTCCAAATTATGATAGGGTTGGAATTGAAAATTTTATTCGAGCAAAGTAGGTATTTGTAACATATATTGTGTCAATCCTTTAAAACTATGCATTTGAATGAGTTTCCTGTAAATATTGTTAATTTGTTTCATAACTTTGAATAGATACGATGACAAAAGATGGATACCAAAGAATGGAGCATTTATATCTTCAAAGGCACCTGAAGAACGAACCTACGAATCCATGGAGAAATCTGTAGGTAGAGGTGAGCATAGGAATAGTAATAGTTTGGGGTCAATGGAGGAGTTTAAAAAGGTTTCACCTCAAACTATAAGGAAGAATGCTGTGGCGGCTTTTAAAACTCCTGCTCAATTAACTATGGTATGCATATTTTTCTAGTAGGAGTTTCAAGTTTTATTGCATCATCATTCTAGTTTAAATACTTTTGGAAGGAAGACATTGTATGAAGCATGAATTAATATATTATAATTCTAACTTACTTATTGATTTCATTGACTTATGTAATATAAAGTAAAACTTTATCGGCTTATGTTGCATTATACTCAGCTTGATATCTACAGCTCAATTTAGTTTTTTTTTTTTTTTTTCACACCCACACACAAACACACACATATCGCATATGCAAGACGTCAAACTCATGACCTCTTGGTTGAAAGACACAGCTCTTAACTATTAGGCCATGGTGGCTTGCTTATTTAATTACGATTTAGTTTATAGCTTGTATTTCTCATTTTGTCAACTTCATAAATCCATTATCTCCAATTTTACATTTTGAGTGCTATAAGGTGCTAAATTTAGTTTAAGTCATTCCTTAAGCATGGATTTTAGCGGTGTTATCTGTTCTCTACCTATTCCTTTCATAGTAATTCTACCCTAGCTTTACTGGATATGTCTTTTACTCGCTACTATTCATACCTAAATCATTTTATTTCATTTTCCTTATTTTAAAGTTACGCCAAATATTTTCTTAAATCTGTTTTATCTTTTTCTGTTTTATAACACATGCATCTTAACTTGCAATTCTTCCACGCTTAGCTCACAGTGATTTGGTTTTCTATCTCTAGAATCCAAGTAATATAGCCTATTTAGTTGCCGTTTTATGTAATCAATCTTTTTGTTTTGATCTTGATGAGATATTAATATGACTGATTTAGCTGCAGTTTTATGTAGTTGACCTTCAAGTTTTGATGTTGATAAGATATGTTGTCTACAAGCATGATACTTGCTTTGTTGCACTTTTAGTAGTAAATATGCATGAAAGTATGTTGGAACTAGAGAAAAATGGATCAAAGTGGCCTACTATTTGGAATGGTCGGAGGTGAGGGGCATGTAATCCTAAATTTTCTAATGCTAATTTAGTCTCTCAACTTCTCAATTCTAATCTAAAATGGTCTTTTAACTCACCAAATCTGATCCAAAGTAATTCTATGTAGGTCTATTTTTTATCATATTTAGTCTCTCGACTTCTCAAGTCTAATCTAAAATGGTCTTTTCACTCACCAAATCTGATCCAAAGTAATTCAATGTAGGTCTATTTTTTATCATATTTGAGACGTAAAGGGACTAAATTGAACAGATACTAAAATAGTCCCATGCAAATAATCCGGAGACTATTTGTACTTTTTTTCAAGTTGAAATTTTTAAAACCTTAAAGTTATGATTGAGATCGATTTCTACTAGAATTAGTTGCAGATTTACCAAAAAAATATAATCACAATAAGATTATATGAACGATCAAAATTGAACCCACATCTTTTTATGATTACAGAGATGCTTACAAACATCACTTAAAACAAGGCATGTTTACAGACATCACTTAAAATAAAGCATGTTACAAACATCACTATGTAATTCTTGCAAAATGTAATAATGAGTTCAATCTACTGACTCGATTCTTTACGTACACATAATGGAGTCAATATAGTTTGCATTGAAACCAATTTCTAAATTAATTCAAGTCGTATGGAAATAATTATTTTGATCCTTTCAAGAAACAACCAGAGCCGGAAATGTTCAAAATGACAAGATACAAATCTTCAAATATCCTTATGATGGTCATGGTCACTGCATATTATGGCTAGAGAGGGCCCATCTTTTAAAATCAAAACTTTCAGATTTCAAATCTTCTCTTCCAAAAAAATTAAATTCATTGATACATATGAATATTTTTGAGAGAGTTTTCTTGCTGACAAAGCAAGGTTATAATTCCAATCTTCTATGCCTCTAGAAGCAGATTTAACCAGATTTCTCTCTCAATAAACTTTCACAAAACCAATCGAAAGAGGTTTCTATTTGACGTCCAATTTGTTTCTTATCATCTTGGTCGTGTTTAATAATAGGTCCATTCATTAATAATTTTGGTGCTCTGAATGGATCCTTACCATCAATTTTGTGAATGAAATTGTAGTACTTCGACTTGAATTTGCATGAGTTCAAAGTCCTCATTGTGATCTGGCTAATCAATAGGGAAGTCATCTATTGATGATTTCAATGCTACAGATGTTTTAGTATAATTTGTTATATAAATGAAAGATATTTTCAAGGCATTTCAAGTAGATTATTATCATTTTCATTTTGCGAGGTTCTAGGTGGTGCATACATCTTTGATAAATTCATCGCTCTGAATAAAATAACAGTCTATGTTGTGAAATTGGCCATGATTGAATCTTTTTTTTGTGGCAATCATGATGTGTTGTATTTATTTTGTATGTGTGGGCTTCCAAAATTGGACTCCCTGGATTCTCGTCGAGAGTTTGTGTTAAGTTTCAAGTCAAATTTTGATAAGGTATATGAGATAGTGGATAAGACATTGCCAAGTGATTTTTCCTTCATTAAACTTTAACATCTGGGGTTCGAGGTTTTCCATAGGTGCAAACCCCTGTTGTTAATTACTTTTTTCAATAACAGGAGAATATTTTCAATTAAGGCTTATCATTGGATGCTAGGTATTCACTTGCATGTATTAGCAACAAGTGTAAATTTTAAAGTTATTAAATTATCACTATTAGCTTAAAGCAAATGGTGAGGGAAACAATGACAAACCCAATCAAAATCTCATGATTCCATTATTCCGGGTTTTTATGGTTTTTGGTTTACTTAGAAAAGCTAGTCAACCAAGTATGACAGAAGGAACCTTGTATGTTTTGCTTCGTCCAAGAGAATCTTGTAGACTTGGGGTGGTTGTTTGTCTGAGGGGATTATTCTAACTCAATCTTAGCGTACACAGAAGATTTCATGTCTTTTAAGGTACAAATATTGATCGAAAACTCAAAAGAGCAGATGCTATTAGAGAACATATGGGTTACAATTGTGATTGTGATAGGGCCATTTGGCGGCAAAGCATTTGGTCAAAGGGTTTGGTCATAATTGTTTCTATGTGGTGTTATTTGGTGGCAAAATCACTTAGATAGATGACTCTGGTTATGTCCTTCTTGGCATGAGGTTGTTTAAGTGTGAATTTAGGAGTATAATTGATGACATTTTATTTTTGTGACTTTGAGTCAATATTTTATTTGTTGCGATCGACAAACGATTGCAAATGGATTATGTGATTTTTCATTAAAGCTTTTAGTGATAGATTTTTATTTAAGTATTGTAAAAAGGAAAAGTTTCTATAAATAAAAATAATTGTTGATGGAATAATAATGTGTAAGAAAAGAAAAAAATATAATAACTTGTGTTATAAAAATTGGTTTAAATGTAAAAGATGTACTGTATGAAGTCCAAGAGAACAATCTATGGGGAGTCTATGAGATTAATCTATGATGCTAAAAATTCTTCTTTTAGTGATTTTTATAATAGATTAGATACTAAAGAGGGTGAATATATATATATATATATATATATAAACTAACCAAACAAAGAGAAAAGATAAGTAAAGATTTGACTCAAGCGTATTAAAGATGAAAATCAAAAAATATTTTTCTTATAACATAATATTCAATAAAGGTGGGCGAGTTATTTTAATAAAGCTTTCCATGAAGTCTCTGAAAATATGTTCGATCTTAGTGATCTTAATATCATTAATAATAATAAAATATTTCATTTCCACCATCAAATTCGTAAAAAATAAGTTGAGGAGACTTTAAAGAAAGCCAAGGGTAGAAAGTCTATACGGCCTGATGATATCTTAATTTAAGTGTGTGAATATTTAAGAAATTTAAGAGTTTCTTGACTTATTAAACTTTTTAATATTATTTTAAAAATTAAAAAGATGCCTAAGGAGTGGAGGAATTTGGTCCACATTTTTAATATTAAAGGGGATGCACAAGAGTGTAAATTATAGAGGAATTAAGTTGATGTGTCATACTTTAAAATTATGGGAGAGTTAATCGAACATAGGTTAAGAAATATTACAAAGATTTCTCATAATCAATTTGGATTTATGCTAGATAGGTTTATTATGGAAGCTATAATTTATTGAGAGGTTTGATGGAGAAGTACAGAGAGAATAAGAAGGATCTACGTATGATTTTGATTGATTTAGAAAAAACTTACGATAAAATTCCAAGAGATATCATTTGGAGATTCTAGAAAAGAAAGGTGTTGATATGACTTATATTCAAGCCATTGAAGCTATGTATACTAGAGCTGCTACTTGTGCTTGAACAGAAGGATGATTGACCAAATATTTTTCTATTTCAGTTGGATTATGTCAGAGATCAAATTTAAGCCCATATCTTTTTTGCTTTAGTTATGTATGCTCTTATTGGACATTTACAGAAGGATGTACTTTGGTGTATGCTTTTCGTTGATGATCTCCTTCATGTGGATAAAACTAGAGAAAGAGCTCAGAAAAAACTTGAATTATGGAGGACTACATTGGAGTCTAAAGGCCTTCATTTAATCTTCGTTTTAGTAGAACTAAACCTGAATACATGGAATCTAATTTAGTAGTAGCTCTAGTAACAGCGTTGTAACTATGAGTGATCAAATCATTAAAAGATGTGAATGATTTAGTTATCTCGGGTATATTGTTTAAAGTGATGTTGATATAGATTTGGATGTTATTAGTAGAATTCAAGTTGGTTGGTTGAAGTGGAGGAATGCTTCGGTCCTATTGTGTGATAGAAAAGTACCACTTAGATTGAAAAGAAAATTTTGTAAGATGGTGAGATCTGCAATGCTCTATGACATAGAATGTTGGCCTTTAAAAGAGAAGCATAAAACTAAGTTAAGTGTTGTCAACCCGCTTAGCAGTTTCAATCATCCCCTCCGAACGATGATCCTGAAAGACAGACATCAGAGGAAAAATGAACAAAACAATCAATGTCATATGTCAGCTTACTGACAGATAAAAGGTTATACTTCAACAAAGGTATATGTAACATAGGTTATGGAGTTAGACCTGTTGTTAAAAT